AGGATATACAGGACTTTAACTCAGCTCTGGATCAGGTGGACCTAATAGACATCTACAGAACTCTCCACCTGACATCAACAGAATATACATTCTTTTCAGCACCACATCGCACTTATTCTAAAATTAACCACATAATTGGAAATTATCGCAAATGCAAAAGAATGGAAATCATAACAAACAGTCTCTCAGACCACAGTGCAATCTAATTAGAACTCAGAATAAAGAAGCTCACTCAAAACCACGCAACTACATGGAAACTAAACGACCTTATCCTAAATGACTACTGGGTAAATATTGAAATTAAGTCAGAAATAAATAAGTTATTTGAAACCAATGAGAATAAACACACAATGTAACAGAATCTTTGAGACACAGCTAAAGCAGTGTTTAGAGGGAAATTTATGGCACTTAATGCCCAAAGGAGAAAGCAGGAAAGATCTAAAATCAACATCCCAACATCACAATTAAAAGAACTAAAGAAGCAAGAGCAAATTCAAAAGCTAGTAGATGACAAGAAATAACTAAGATCAGAGCAGAACTGAAGGAGATAGAGACACGAAAAACCCTTCAAAAAATCAATAAATCCAGGAGTTGGTTTTTTTAAAGGACTAACAAAATAGATAGATTGCTATCCAGACTAATAAAAAAGAAAAGAGAAAAGAACCAAATAGACACAATAAAAATGATAGAGGGGATATCACCACTGATCCCACAGAAATACAAACTACCATCAGAGAATGCTATAAACATCTCTATGCAAATAAACAAGAAAATCTAGAAGAAAGGGATAAATTCCTGCACACATACACTCTCCCAAGTCTAATCCAGAAGGAAGTCAAATCCCTGAATAGACCAATAACAAGTTCTAAAATTGAGGCAGTAATTAATAGGCTACCAACCAAAAAAAGCCCAGGACCAGATGGATTCAGAGTCAAATTCTACTACAGGTACAAAGAGGAGCTGGTACCATTCCTTCTGAAACTATTCCAAACAATAGCAAAAGAGGGAATTCTCCCTAACTCATTTTACGAGGCCAGCAACATCCTGATACCAAAACCTGGCAGAGACAAAACAACAGAAGAAAACTTCAGGCCAGTATCTCTGACGAACATCGATGTGAAGTCCTTAATAAAATGCTGGCAAATCTAATCCAGCAGCAGATCAAAAATCTTATCCACCATGATCAAATCAGCTTCATCCCTGGGATGCAAGGCCGGTTCAATATATGCAAATCAATAAGTGTAATTCATCACATAAACAGAACCAATGACAAAAACCACAAGATTATCTCAATAGATGCAGAAGAGTCCTTCAATAAAATTCAACACCCCTTCATGCTAAAAATTCTCAATAAACTAGGTATTTATGGAACGTATCTCAATAAGAGCTATTTATGACAAACCCACAGCCAATATCATACTGAATGGGCAAAAGCTGTAAGTATTACCTTTGAAAACTGGCAAAAGACAAAGATGCCCTCTCTCACCACTCCTATTCAACACAGTATTGCAAGTTCTGGCCAGGGCAATCAGGCAAAAGAAAGAAATAAAGGGTATTCGAATAGGTATTTAAAAGAAGACATTTCTGTGGCCAAAAAACATAAGAAAAAAGTTCATCATCACTGGTCATTAGAGAAATGCAAATCAAAACCACAATGAGATAGCATCTCATGCCAGTTAGAATGGCGAGCATTAAAAAGTCAGGAAACAACAGATGCTGGAGAGGATGTGGAGAAATAGGAATGTTTTTACATTGTTGGTGGGAGTGTAAATTAGTTCAACCACTGTGAAAGACAGTGTGGCGATTCCTCAAGGATCTAGAACAGAAATACCATCTGATCCAGCATTCCCATTACTGGGTATATACCCAGAGGATTATAAATCATTCTACTATAAAGACATGTACACATGTATGTTTATTGCAGCACTATTCACAATAGCAAAGACTTGGAACCAATCTAAATGTCCATCAATAATAGACTGAATGAAGAAAATGTGGCACATATACAGCATGGGATACTATGCAGCCATAAAAAAAAAGATGAGTTCATATCCTTTGCAGGGACATAGATGAAGCCAGAAACCATCATTTTCAGCAAACTAACACAGGAACAGAAAATCAAACACCGCATGTTTTCACTCATAAATGGGAGTTGAACAATGAGAACACACAGACACAAAGAGGGGAACATCACACCCTGGAGCCTGTCAGGGGGTGGGGGACTAGGGGAGGGATAACATTAGGAGAAATATCTAATGTAGATGACAGGTTGATGGGTACAGCAAACCACCATGGCACATGTATACCTAAGTAACAAACCTACAGGTTCTGCATATGTATCCCAGAACTTAAAGTATAATAAAAAAATCAATCTTTAAGTATGCCTGCTTTATTGAGATTTGGAATCATGTTTATATCTCAAATGATGTGTTATTTCTCTGCATATTTCATTGAAATGTAATATAGCACAAGATATGCTTGTGTCTCTTCTATGGTAACATTGCCTGATTTATGGAAGTCTGCCAAAAATATTTAAATTCTATATGGCACTTTTAAAAATTACACTCAATGCCTTTCCAAATTTATTATATACAGAAAATATTAACCAGAACCCCAGGTTTTGTTGAAGTTTTGTTTTCATTCATAGTAGCATACTAAATCTCTAGTTTAAAAAATATTCTTTATAACTGCCTATAGGAACTTCAAAATACTTGTGATGGTGTACTTTTTATATTTTACTCCCCACTATTACCTCTTGTGTCTATTTTTTAGGGAAACATCTTAATATTTATTCTTTACAATTCTCAACCTAATTATGTATATTATTTTCCTTGGAATACATTTTTATCAACCTACCTAATCCATGGCTTTAAATTCAGTGAATGGCACACTGAAAAATAGTCAATATGTGACTTTTCTCTTCAAGAGGCAGTTTTTCTTTCTTCAAGATTCTGAAAACTTTATTAGTCAAGCCATAATCATTCAAACATTATGAATAACTGTTTCTAAAGCTAAGTAGTTTTGAAAAATTTTGGAGTCAAAAATATATATGTGTGTGTGTGTATATATATACACATATATATGTATATATGTATATATACACATATATATGTATATATACATATATACATATATATACACATATATATGTATATATGTATATATACATATATATACACATATATATGTATATATGTATATATACATATATATATGCATAGTGTGTGTGTATATATCTGCCCTGCGTCTGGCTTGGTATTATGTCATGGATCTTCCACATTCTACCAGGACTCACAGATATTGGCAGGGGCTGTGTAGAGTTTTCACATAATAACTTCATACCCTCAGAGGTGCTTTTTTAAAGTAAAGAACCATTAAAAGAAGACCGTTATTAACAGGCCTTTAATTTTATGAAAGGAAATTTTGAAGTTAAGGACTATAGTCCTTGCTCTTTATGACACCACAGACGGTTGAAGCTTTATCAAATTCTCACTTGCATCCCCTGGCTTCAGTATGTAAAAGATTATTCTGTCTTATATTTTTATATATTTTCATTTATTTCACATTATATAGTCCACATATTTATATGCTTGTTTTCTATTGCAAATTCTATGGATATATTATATGCATACTTCATATGTGTATATATCCTAAGCTAATTGAACATTTATAGCAAGAGGGCTTTGAGGTTTGCTAATATAAATACATATTTCACAGCTCATTTCAAGTCCCATTTGTATAATTTCAAGCCACATTGATCTCTCACTTTCCTGACATATTCTGGAACCTACTGTCTGTATCACATATGTTAATATTTTATTATATTCAATTTAGCTTTCTGTTTTATATTGTGACCCCTATTTAACAAATAGGTGTGTGTTAAAAGCATGTAGGTTTATTAATAAAGACCCCCCCTTATGCATTTTGCCAAAAAAGTTATAAAATGGTCATTAGAGTTCCCAGAAAAATTATTTTACACATCTAACTGAAATGCTATATAACTGAGATGACAAATACTAAGAACATTATATTCTTACAGTGTTAATTAAAACAGAAACCACAAAGAACATTAAAGTCCTTTTTATGGGTTGATTCCAAGTCTTTGCTATTGTGAATAGTGCCGCAATAAACATACGTGTGCATGTGTCTTTATAGCAGCATGATTTATAATCCTTTGGGTATATACCCAGTAATGGGATGGCTGGGTCATATGGTACATCTAGTTCTAGATCCTTGAGGAATCGCCATACTGTTTTCCATAATGGTTGAACTAATTTACAATCCAAATGTCCATCAGTGACAGACTGGATTAAGAAAACGTGGCACATATACACCATGGAATACTATGCAGCCATAAAAAAGGATGAGTTTGTGTCCTTTGTAGGGACATGGATGCAGCTGGAAACCATCATTCTTAGCAAACTATCACAAGAACAGAAAACCAAACACCGCATGTTCTCACTCATAGGTGGGAACTGAACAATGAGATCACTTGGACTCGGGAAGGGGAACATCACACACCGGGGCCTATCATGGGGAGGGGGGAGGCGGGAGGGATTGCATTGGGAGTTATACCTGATGTAAATGACGAGTTGATGGGTGCTGACGAGTTGATGGGTGCAGCACAGCAACATGGCACAAGTATACATATGTAACAAACCTGCACGTTATGCACATGTACCCTAGAACTTAAAGTATAATAATAATAAAAAATAAAAATAAAATTTTAAAAAAGTCCTTTTTATGAAAAATTGAATGCTGGTGTTTAAGAGAAAATGAACTAAAATTAAAGGACATGTAAAAGTAGTAGTTGGCAACATGGGAATTGTTAAGAAACTTCTGGGCAAGCAGATAATGGCATTTATTGGCCATATATAATTTCACTTCTAAATCTAACACTTTATTTTAGACTTAATACCAGCACTACCTTTTACTGATGAATGATGTCAAAGGTTTTTTTCTCTCCTGAGGTTCACAGATTAGACAGAAATGTGGGAATTATGCAAGCGTTGAAAGACCAAACAATTAAGATGGTATGTAAGAAAAATCTTGTCGGTGGTAGAATTAACTAAGCAATAAAAATAAATACAGAAAACAACAGGGTACAGAGTGAATTAGGTTAGGGGATGAATTGGGAAAAAAAAAAATCTGAAGTCAATTCTTTGTTTTGGCCACCAGATGATAATATCAGGCCCAAGAGTTAGGGTGGATGACTATGTGCAGGGCACAAGTCAGAACTCGGGAAATACCTACATTGATCGCCTTATTTGTTTTATTTCTAAACGCCCTTCCTTAGAAGAAAAACTTACCTTTGCAACTTCAGGGCAGGCAGGTGGATGGCAAAGGAAAGATACTGTACATTCCTCACAATCACAGAACAAGCAAATCACAAAATAGATGCTCAATATATAATAACATAATAAACATTTACAAAATAACTTCATATAGTGATAGTAAGGATTAAATGAGCTAATGCATGAATAATGCTTAGAACAGTACCTAGCATGTTGTAAGAGAGCAATGTGTGTTATCTATTACTATTATTACTACTGCTACTATTTTAATTATTTGCTTTCTTTGATTAAAACTCCTGCAATACTCTCAGAAGTCATGTGTAAACAAAATAAGCATGCATCTATCCCTATGAGTTAAAAAGATGAAATTTGACTGCCCAACCTAATTAGAGGTTGTCTTATTGTAGATGTCCAGCTTTAAACTGGTCTAGACAGTCTAAACTGGTGTCCTGGTATCTAGTCATCTAGACACCACTGTTGCAATACAGTATATCACTAATTATTCACAAATGTTGACTCATCCCGAGAGATATACCAAACGGTCTTCTTGTCCTCAGTACTGGACACAACAAGTATGTCTGAATTTTACCTTCAGATATGAAGCTCTGTTTTGTGTTCCATCTTGTGGGGTTTTTTTCAGGGCAGAGGAGTTGATCTTTCTATGTCAATGCACCCATTTTATTTTATTTTAAGTTCTGGGGTACATGTACAGGATGTGCAGGTTTGTTACATAGGTAAACACGTACCATGGTGGTTTGCTGTACCTATCAACCCATCACCTAGGTATTAAGCACTGCAAGTATTAACTATTTTTCCTGATGCTCTCCACCCCACCCCACCCTCTCTCTCCCAACAGGCCCCAGTGTGTGTTGTTCCCCTCCCTGCATCCATGTGTTCTCATTGTTCAGGTCCCACTTATAAATGAGAACATCCATGTTTGGTTTTCTGTTCCTGCGTTAGTTTGCTGAGGATAACGGCTTCTAGCTTCATCTGTGTCCCCACGAAGGACATGATCTCATTCCTTTTTATGGCTGCATAGTATTCCATGGAATGCACCCATTTTTATTTTATTTATTTATTTATTTATTTAAGACAGGGTCTCACTCTGTCACTCAGGCTGGAGTGCAGTGGTGTGATCTCAGCTCACTGCAACCTCCATCCCCAGGGTTCAAGTGATCCTCCCACCTCAGCCTCCATAGTAGCTGGGACCACAGGCACACAGCACCACACCTGGCTAATTTTTCATATTTTTAGTAGAGACAGGGTCTCGCTATGTTACCCAGACTGGTCTCAAACTCCTGAGCTCAAGCAGCTCACCCACCTTGGCCTCCCACAGTGCTGGGATTACAAGCATGAGCCACTGTACCCAGCTAATGCACCCATTTTCAATGACCTTATTATGTTAAATTTTACTTGGGTGGGGGATTATCTGGTCTTATTAATGGATATTAAATTTCACCTAAATGTCCATTGATCCAATTGTACTCTTCTCCTTGAGCACCTTGAGATCCCCATAATTAGTGAGTCCAAATATTATTCAGAAAGATAATAATTTTTCATAGAATAATAGAAAAGGAAGTCGTTAAAAAATTATTTCTAGATTATGTTGGTTCAAGTTAACCCTGGGGAGACCCATACCATCAAGTCTGATGATGAGAATATTCAGAATATTCAAGGTCAGTTAAAGCGTAATTAGGCATGTGTTACTTGATATCAAATAGAGTGAAATTAAATATTAATGTGAAATGACTTTACTGTAGCCCACTTACTGTTTGAGACAGATTAAATGCTCCTAGATATAATCCTCACAGGAGGTTAGTATCAATAGAATAACCCGGGCTAATCATGCTAATCTTACTAGAGACCTACAAAAGTAAAGTACTTTTAAAAACTGAAGGAGATTAATTCCAAAATTCTATTTGAAGTCCAGATTTTGGAGATATTGATAGCTGATTATAGTTTTAGACTATTCTCCTATAGGAGATGATTGCTAAGGCCTTCAGACAGCTCATTCATTCATACATTCAACAAGTATTTACTCAGTGTCTAGCATGTACCAGCCCTCTACTGGACACTTAGGATACAACAATGTGTAGAAGGGGTGATTATACAGACATACACTCACACACACACAGACACACACACACACACACAATACTCTATAGATAGGTAGATAGCAAATATATAGCATGTAGACTTGCTTCAGTAGTAATATAAAATTCATAAATACTTGCTTCATATAAGCTTTATTATTATTTCAATGAGATGACTGTTTTACATCAATTATTTTGTATCCTAAAGTGATTTTGAGCTGTCTCAAGAATTTCTAAAAACATTATCACCTACCAATGGATTTCGTATTGCTGCTATACAAAATTTATCACGAATTCATATTTATTATTTTCCCATTATTCAAAGTAAATTACCATTCTAGGACTTGAAAGCCACATATATTTCTAGAACTAAGCATTAATTATAATAACTTCAGATAAACAAGAGAATTACAACATTAAAAGTCTCCATTCCGTGTTGTATTTTAGATACTATGCAATCATATGTTTAAGATACTAAAAATACGTAGTATGAAAGTAGGGCATCACATGAGTATTACTGGGTCCTTCTTTATAACATACTGTTTTCTAAAAACCACTTTAGTATATTTGATGGAAAGCCTTAAATGAAAATTTAAGTTTTATTAGGCAATGTCACTGTAAGAAATATATGTTATGTTACAGAGTAAACTTTTTATTATCCAATATATGACCATGATAGGTGAGAAACAATAGATAAGTAAAGGTACAATTATACCAGAAGGCTGGTATGATAGTTGATTTTCATTAGCAGTAGGAATTACCAATATTTTTTATAGTTTAAATTTAAACCATGCCTTGGTTATTCTCCCATTAGTTGTGATTAATTTTCATCAATTCATCTACACTCTGACTCATGCTTGTGAGTCAACAACACATATTTTCAAAATAGCTGACGATTATTAAAGCTTGGAGCTGGTTTTGATTGTACAAAGTTAACTGACTCCTGTAAAGGCCTTTGTTTAATGTTATTACAGTATTTATTAAAATAATTCTCTTTTAGGATCAACTGATGTTCCTCTGATGTCACCACCTGGTAAAATGGCTGACTATTATTAAAGCTTGGAGCTGGTTTTGACTGTACAAAGTTAACTGACTCCTGTAAAGGACTTTGTTTAATGTTATTACAGTATTTATTAAAATAATTCTCTTTTAGGATCAGCTGATGTTCCTCTGATGTCACCACCTGGTACTTTGCCATCAATCTATCTCCCTCCTGGCTACATGTCTCAGGTATGCTCATGTGGTTTTTACTTGATGTTTAGCTCTATCATTTAACATTTTTCATTATGTCACTATATAAGATAACTTCCGGTATGTTATTTATTTATTTATTTTACTGTTATCATCATTGCTAAAAGCCATTGCATTTAACCAAACCAGTCCTCTTTTAGATTGCCTTATAAACGATGTTTAATTCATCCAGTGAATTTGGATCTCTTAATATTCACTAATCTTCCTTTTTTTTTTTTTTTTTGGTTTTTCAGTATTTTCACCCATCTTATCTAGCAAAATTGCTACACTAATGGCTTCTGATAATGTGTGTGCTTTAGTCCCTAAAATTACTTTGCATTTTCAGTTCAGAAGTATTTCATTCCCAGACTGCTAGGGGCACTTTTAAGAAATTCCATAAATATTTGCCAAGTGCCTAAAATGAGCAGGAAGCTGTAACTCCTATAAAGATTAATAAGATATTCCATAGCCTAGGAAATTTTTATAATTGAAAATATGACTTTTTCTACTTCTTCATAGTGTTTACCTTAGTGGCTTATTTCGTTGTGTTTATTGCACAGCTGTGGATATGAATAACATGCTAAATAAATAAATTTAATGTGGTTTAATTCTTAATGGAATTATCTATTGGGCAATATCTAATGAAAATACAAATGCATAATCCTTTCACCCACCAATTCCACGTTAAGAAATTTATCCTACAGATATATTTTCACAAATTTGGAATGAAAAATATACAAGATTATTCATTACAATACTGTTTATAACCACAAAAGGCTGAAAACAGCCCACATGCTTATCAATGGGTGACTGTATAGTACATCCACATAAGGGAGCACTCTTTGGCTATGCAAAAAATAATAATAATAATAGAGAAGCTCTATCTACTTTGATACAGAGAGTCCTTCAAGATTAACGCTGAGTTCAAGTTACAAAGTCGTACAATTCTACCTTTTATGTAATAAAAAATAAAGGAAAAATAAGAATATGCATTCTTATTTGCTTGTACAGGTATAAAGAAATTCTGGAAGGATTCATAAGAAACTAAGAACAGTAGTTATCTGTTGGGAAGGTATTGAACAGATAGGGTTACTTTTTTTTTTTTTTTTAGACTGAGTCTCGTTCTGTCGCCAGGCTGGAGTGCAGTGGCA